TTGTTTTTTATGTAGATCCATGTGATATAATGTGCTTAACATTAACAGAGTAGATCCTAGTACCTTTAGAGTAATACTGACATCAAAACATTTATTTTTGCAAAGAGTGGTCAAGATTTACAACTAGAATTTTCAAAAGGGTTTTTGTTGCTCTTCCTTAATGGGTGCCCATTTAAGAAATTTTCCCTCAATTCCTGTCCTTGTGACCCCTGTCTATAGGACAAAAAGTGAAAAAACTCCCCCAACAGGGAACAAAGAACAATCGATTCTCCATCAGTGAGACCACCTATCTTGGAACAAGAAGTGAAAGATACCTCTACATTACAGGACATGTTCTTCAACTATCTCCTTTTTTAACATACTGTACGTACTCCTCCTTCCTCTATATTACAGAACATGTACCCCAACTGTTACACAGTTGTAGTAAACCTTTTGCCAACAAAAAAGTCTTTAAAAAATGATTACATTTACAAAAAGAGATACATTAATTTGGATTATTGAGAACAAAGTGGATATTTGCAGTTGGGTTCAGATTTGCCAATAAACTTTTATTTAATTGTTTATTTAGCTATTTTTAAAATGTACTCCCTATGGTATAACACCATATGCTGCTATTGTGACTAATACAGAAGGGTGACAAATCATAAACTTTTAAAATAAACTATTTATTCTCTTTTTCTTCCCTGGTATCTTTAAGTAACCATTGAGACCAGCAGAAAATGTTCAAATTATGCTGTTTTCCATGGAGATCTACAGGCATATGGAGTGCTCAATGTAAGAGGGCATTCCATAGACCAAGCTGTGTCCACTCTTTGTACACAGCAACCACTCTTCCCAAACAGCAGTTAAACCTTTAATTGTCAGTGTATTACCACTGATAAGCATCCTCAAAACAATTTGTTCTCTTTTTTCTGCATTGCAGATGTCCATTTTGTTCATCAGGGATCTCTTTCTTTATCCTACATTTTTACTGCCAAAAAAATACCTTGCATCTGTTTAAAATGGCTCTTCATAAAATGCTCTTTTATACCTCTATCTGAAAATGAGATTAGTGAAAATATTGATTGCTTTGGAAATTAAACAAATAAAATAATTTATCAGAAAAAGGAATCCAGTAAAATTCAGAAAGTGGATAATGCCCCATGGCTCCTACAGCCTTGCAAGGGTTGCTCAGATTTGGAAACTGTATCCAAGCAGCTCAGTACACTTTGTATGACAGTGTAATCCACATACATTTTTTTTTAATTTTACCCTAAAGGATTACATAAAAAGCAAAATCAAATTAAGACAAAGGGACAAACTAAAATCCTATAATATTCTTCCTTCTTAAGACCTATTTGTGGTCTCTCTGAAACTCTAGGACTGTGGATTAATAGTTATACGCAGGGGCAGACTGACCATTTGGAAACTCGGGCACTGCCCGAGGGCCCGGGGTCAGTAGGGGGCCCCATGAGATGCCCCTGGTACCTTTTTCATAGGCTTTTTTGAGTTTGGGCAAGGACACAGGGGCCCCATGATCCCCTATTGCCCGGGGGCCCCATGAGTTGTCAGTCCGCCCCTGGTTATACGGAGGAGTCTCACATCTAAACTGTGATTCTTCTGTCACATTATGGAATAATAGTTTTCCTATAACAAGTGTTCCAGTGTCCTAATGTGTAAAGCTGCATTAAGTTACCTTTTAAATAAACTGTCAAAATGTAAACTTGTCAGAAAATAATAGCAGCAATCACTAATATTTGCTTCAAAAGAATGCAGAAGAACCCAACTGGCAAGCCTGTTATGAAACTATTTCTGGGACCACCAAATGATGACACACCACCAACGCTCCTAAAATGAAGCTTATATCTGGCATCAAGGGTTCATTTTTACAAAAGCATTGGTAGTTCTCTCACAGCTTGCCGACTACAAGCAAAAACTATGAGCTGGCTTTCTGGCTGTCCAACTTCCAACATCCTTTTAGAGTCCATTTAGGGTCTGAATGGCACCTCATCCATGGTAATGCACTGAGTTGCACTGTGGTGCACTGCATTGTTAAATATTGTGTACGCACATTTTCTGGTGCATTAGGAAGTCTATTCAAATGAAAAGGTTGCATTAACGCAACCCACGTAATGCACAACATTACACATTAAATGCACTGCTCAGTAAAGCTTTTTCAAACCTGATTACCAATAAAAAACAAGTTGGGAACTTGGTTCTTCTGGTGTCAGGAGAGAAGGTAGAACTCATTTCATTCAAAGAGGTGTTTCTCATATAACAAAATGTACCCTTGTCTAAAACTACTACTAGTTTGAGATCTTCCATGTTTTTTTTACAAACGTGACCACGTGGATTTGAAAAGTTTTAACATAGTTACCACTTCAGGATAACTTTAATTTTATTACCTGTTTATTTCTAGGCTCTCCAAAGAGAGAACCAGCAAATGATGAGACACTACTAACAAGTGTGCCTCTCTCTGATGTACAATCTAACCAGAAAAGAATTGATAGGGAAGTGAAATGAAGGGGATATACAATGAGGAACAGAAGTATTTGAACACCCTGCGATTTTGCAAGTTCTCCCACTTAGAAATCATGGAGGGGTCTGAAATTCACATTGTAGCTGCATTCCCACTCTGAGAGACAGAATTAAAAAACAATGTCAGAAAATCACATTGTATGATTTTTAAAGAATTTATTTGTCTTGCACTGTTGAACATAAGGTATTTGAACACCTGAGAAAATCAGTGTTAATATTTGGTACAGAAGCCTTTGTTTGCAATTACAGAGGTCAAATGTTTCCTGTAGTTCTTGAACCAGGTTTGCACACACTGCAACAGGGATTTTGGCCCACTCCTCCACACAGATCTTCCTCTAGATCTGTCAGGTTTTCGAGGCTGTCGCTGATCAACATGCGTTTCAGTTCCCTCCAATAATGTTCTATTGGATTTAGGTCTGGAGACTGGCTAGGCCACTCCAGAACCTTGATATGCTTCTTATGGAGCCGCTCCTTGGTTATCCTGGCTCCTTGGTTATCCTGCTTTGGGTCGTTGTCATGTTGGAAGACCCAGCCACGACCCATCTTCAATGCTCTGACTGAGGAAAGGAGGTTGTTGCTCAAAATCTCACAATAAATGGCCCTATTTATTCTCTCTTTAATACAGTGCAGTTGTCCTGTCCCCTTCACAGAAAAGCACCCCCAAAGCATGATGTTACCACCCCCATGCTTCACAGTAAGGATGGTGTTCTTGGGATGCAACTCATCCTTCTTTTTCCTCCAAACACGACGAGTGAAGTTTAGACCAAAAAGTTCTACTTTGGTCTCATCTGACCACATGACTTTCTCCCATGCCTACTCTGGATCATTCAGATGGTCATTGGCAAACTTCAGACGGCCTGGACATGTGATGACTTGAGCAGGGGAACCTTCCGTGCAATGCATGATTTGAAACCATGATGGCGTAGTGTTCTACAGACAGTGACCTTTGAAACTGTGGTCCCAGCTCTCTTCATGTCATTGACCAGCTCCTCCCTTGTAGTTCTGGGCTGATTCCTCACCTTTCTTATCGTCAGTGATACCCCACGAGGTGAGATCTTGCATGGAGCCCCAGTCCGAGGGAGACTGACAGTCGTCTTTCGCCTCTTCCATTTTCTAACAATTGCTCCAACAGTTGATCTATTTTCACCAAGCTGCTTGGCAATTGCCCCGTAGCCCTTTCCAGCCTTGTGGAGGTCCACAATTTTGTCTCTGGTGTCTTTTGACAGCTCTTTGGTCTTGCCCATGGTAGTAGTTGACGTCTGACTGACTGTGGGGTGGACAGGTGTCTTTAAAGAGCTCAGACAGGTGCTACTAAGTTAGATTAATGAGTGGAGTAGAGGTGGACTTTTTAAAGGCACAGTAACAGGTCATTGAGAGCCAGAATTCTTATTGCTTCTTTGGTGTTCAAATACTTATGTTCAGCAGTGCAAGACAAATAAATTCTTTAAAAATCATACAATGTGATTTCCTAAATTTTTTTAATTCTGGTTCTCAGAGTGGGAATGCACCTACAATGTGAATTTCAGACCCCTCCATAATTTCTAAGTGGGAGAACTTGCAAAATCGCAGGGTGTTCAAATACTTCTGTTCCTCACTGTCAGTTTGAATCTGACTCATCTAGCTGTGTTTGTAATCAGAGCTTCAGGTATTGCACTCTGTAAACAACAGGCTTTTTAAAATGAACATTCAAGATTGGCCTAATAGACATTAATGCCTGAAAATATGGCATATTAATAAGAAATATTTCATATTTATCTAAAAAAAAAATTAAAAATTAAATTGATATTTTTTCAGTCCTGAACATGATTAAAAAATACACGCAAAACACTAAATGCTCTCTTCAATTATGTAAACATTCTCTCCAATAATGGCTACAGAAAGCTAAACATTAAAATTACAGGTTCCTAGATGCTACAAAGCCAGCTTTAACATTAAAATTGACCTTTTGTAGTATAAAAAATGGGAACTATAAGGCTCATTGACACTTTTACAGTTCAGGCATGTTGGACAGTCTTATACCATTGTTGTCAATGGTACAATTCTAGTAACAACCAATGCATTTTACTAGGGTGCTTTTTTTGAAAAAAATAATACTTGGCACAGCTTCCAGCAAGCTCATCTACCACAGAGATGAACCTTACTGCATGTACAATACATGAGCAACCACTACAAAATGCACGGAAATGCATTGGAAATGCACTAGAACTAATGCCAAAAATCACTTAAAATAGCATATTAATAAACATATACATTTTTACGAATGAAGCTTAACTGAAAAGTCTGCAACAAAGAAACTAAATTTCCTAAATTATATTACCCAGTTTGATCAAATGACAGTTTATTACATCTACATAATTATATTTGTATTAAGGAAAAAATTTATTTTATGATTACATCAGTTTAAGAAATTAAACATTTTGCTTAAGTTATCTTAAGTAAATTAATATATGAGTAATAATAATAACTGCATTGATAAGGCATACCTCTTTACTTTCCTCCAGGTCAGATTCACTGCTGAAATCTTCTGTATTGAGATTTTCAAAATCAGATTCTCCAACAGCGATGGGAACAGTCACGGTGAGGCTTGGGTTATGTATAAAGGACATGTAATCGCTCTCATCAATAATATACTTTTCCACACTGCTGCCTACTCCGCTTGTAGTTCCATTGCCACCTTTGTGATAATCTAGGTCTTTATTAATATCAACCGCATTATGGTTATAAAGACAGCTCTCTTTCCGATTGTGAAGCTCCTCGAGTGGTTTGATTTCATCGAGAGCTTTCTGTTTCTTCACAAAGGCTTTCTGGATGCATTCTCGCACCGTTTTCTTTACAAAATCTATTCCCCTCTGTATTCTTCCCACAGCAATCTGAAGGTTGTTCATCTCATTGTCATCATCTGTTGCTGTGAGGTTGTCGGAACTAAATGAACTCAGCAACAAGGCCAGGAACAAATTCAAAACCTATGCAGTACATACAAAGGTAAGTTAACATTTCATGGTAAGACTGTACCAGACCACCCACTACCGATGCTCCAGAAAAGTACTTGTAAGAAAGTTTCCTAAATTGTAAGCAAAGCAAACTAAATATGTACATTTTCAAAACATGCAAGATAATTTTATAATATGGCTTAGAATATAATAAAACCAGTAACGTAGTAAATTATTTCTTGAGGTGAAACATAGGAACTAGAAGACCACTGGGATCTTAGGCCATCATAGTCTGTTGGGACTTTCTATTCTTACTGCTTTTTTGGTCACTTAACTGGATCCTGCCTACATTTCGACCTCTTTTTCTGTACTTAGTTTACAGCGCTGTCAGAAAATCTAGCTAATGTTATGAGAATCCATGTTAATAATGATACCAGGAAATGGCGGTCCAAAGGGAGAATCAATTTAAGTGCCTAAAGTGAAGGAGGTAAGGAACAAAATAGGGCTGAAGGGGGTATGGTGTATTATATCTCACTGGTTTCACTTTTACACTTCCGATATTAGTCATTGTCCATCACATTTATAGTATACTATTTAATTGTCCTAAGCACATTTCTGGCACAAATTCAGCCTTTGTGATGATATCTCATATGAACTATAACTGGGACAATGCTGTATAGGGCTATATACCAAGGTTTTTATTATCAGCCCTAAAATAGGAGTGTTAGAAAATGTTGTGTTGTCACAAACCAGCCATGTTTGTAAATTGGTGTTATGACTGTAATATCTTATACATTTTACGAATGTAGCTGTATAGTAACTAATATTACTGAACTATCTGTATTGAAATATGAGCCTACCTCACTGACTACGTGTGAACTATTTGCATCAAATGTAAGGAAAATGATCAGAAAAATTAATTCAAGACAAAACATTTGGCACTACAATGAGACAAAAATTATCATGGAGGTTAGGAAAATTATATTTGTAATTGCAGTTTGTAAGGCTGTAAAAATCATGTAGAATTTTGAGTCAGTGTGTGCAATAAATTAGATGAAAGGGAAAATGCAATAAAAACTGGATTATAAAATTAGCTTATTATGTAGCCTTGAACTTTAACTAAGTTTTACTAGAGAGTCATGTTTGCCCATTATTTAAAGTGTTACTAAAGGCAAAATTTTTATTTAAAAAAAAAATAATAAACATCTTATGCTTGCTCTGGGGGCACTCATGCATGCTCACTCCTGAGCCACACTCTGTGTCCAAAAAACACACAGAGCGTGGCTCGGCCCCACCCCCTGCTCCCTCCTGAGTGGCTGTGATTAAAAGCAGCGGGAACCAGTGGCTCCAGCTGCTGTCTCTTGGCCAATGAGGAGGGAGAGACCCGCTGCTCTCGAGCACATTGCTGGATCGAGGGGGACTCAGGCAAGTATTGAGGGGACTGAAGGGAAGGCTGATGGCATAAGGTTTTTTTTACTTTCAGCCTTTACAAACACTTTAATTCTTCAGATTTGTAGTTGAAAGTTTTAAATGTTTGGATTGAGATAGAAGGGATAGACCCCCTGTCAGGTCTTTATTACTGCCTGTGTCCATGCTGGGGAAATACACCCCTCTGTTTGTCCTTGTGTTGCTTGACACTGTGACAGATAGTGATGAGATTCAAAACTGCAGAGTTGTAAGAAGTGCAAAGAGTGATGAAAAATCCTGATTAGAACACCTGTTCTTTTGATAGTGCTCTAAGATGGAAATCCTGTTCACTTTGGAGAGATTTTTCCTTATTTCCAATTGCATGCAGTGCAGGGAAATCTCTCAAGTGGGACACAGGCTGCAAAAAAATACCCTGATAGGAGTTTTAACCTTTCTCTACTTAATTTAATACTAAAAGAAAATGTTTTGCTTTATATACACTTTAATATTCAAATCATTGCATTAATCAAACCTTTCAAGATACCTGTAAGAGTTTGCTCAAGTAGCCAGGTGATTAAGCTTCATTATTTTAAAATACAACTGTATTTAATTTCACTTTGTTAAGTACTCACCACAAGATTGCCAATGACCATCACTAACATGAAGACCAAAAGGCACATAGATTGTCCGGCCACCTCCATACAGTCCCACATAGTCTCGATCCACTCTCCGCATAGTACTCGGAACACAATCAAGAAGGAATGGAAGAAGTCATTCATGTGCCAGCGTGGAAGCTCACAGTCTTCTGAGATTTTACAGACGCATTCCTTGTAGCTTTTACCAAACAGCTGCATGCCAACCACAGCAAAAATAAACACAATGATGGCCAACACCAAGGTCAGGTTTCCCAGAGCTCCCACAGAGTTACCAATGATCTTGATTAGCATGTTGAGGGTAGGCCATGATTTTGCTAACTTGAAGACTCTGAGCTAAAAAGAAAATAAACATTCAAAATTATGCTACTTTTAGGAATTATAAGGTAAAGTGTATGTGAACGTTACTGTGGGCTTCTGAAATTTTGTCTGAAAGGTCTATGTCATTTTTACAGTATAACTGTCAGGACCTGAATATAAACCTGCAAATTCTGCTTTATCCGGTAGTATCTCCTTTTTGCTGAGCCATCTGAGGTGCTGGACAGTTCTCTGGACAATTTGAGGTGCTGGACAGTTCCCTGGACAATTCCTTTGACAATCTCACCTTGAACTTTGTTTCTGGTGAACCTTGAACTCTTTGATGCTCCCATGAACATCCCATTTAAGCCATGCCTTTACCCTTCCCATTTGCCAGATTATTGTACTCTCTCCAGCCAATATCTCTCTCTTGTCACTCCTGCTCGTAGCTTCACTACCACTTGTTGATACCTTTGGCTTGTTCCTCGACTGCGTTTCTGATTGATCCCAACCTGTAACCACTTCTTACTGACCTTTAGCTTGTTCCTTTTCTACACTTCTGCTTTGTCCCCACCTGCAACCATTTGTTACTGACCTTTGGCTTGTTTATTGACTATGCTTCTGCTTGTTTCCTACGTGCTATATCTGCTACTGAACCCTGGCTTGCTCACCTCCTGATATGGCAATCCTGAAGACCACGACCTGGTACTAGCACACACAGAAAAACCTATCTCCATCATCAGGAGCTTTGGTGTATACTGCTTACTGCTTAGACCCCGCACCTCTTGGGTGAGACTGCATCATTTGCCAGGGTTACCTACTTATATACTTATCCTGCTGGTAGGTGGGAGCCAGGGGCGGACTGACTATTTGGAAACTCGGCACTGCCCCAGGGCCCAGGGTCAGTAGGGGCCCCATGAGATGCCCCTGGTACCTTTTTCATAGGTTTTTTTGAGTTTGGGCAAGGACACAGGGGCCCCATGATCCCCTATTACCCGGGGAGCCCCATGAGTTGTCAGTCCGCCCCTGGTGGGAGCCTCTTTACTGCTAAAGCTACTGGTGTCCAAGCATGACCCCTGACTGTGCCAGTAACAAAGGGTGATCACAATGGTTGACTCCAGGGTCAGGCAGTCAACATAGAATATTTTGCTAGTGAATGACAGATCTACTGCCCCAAACATTTGAAGCACCAGTTAGAAAGTAAAAGCTGCTGCTATGGGGTGAATTCTAGTTCTCATAAATCAGATAGTATCCTTTTAACAAAATTCAGGTCTTACAAATTATGAAATTATGTACAAAACAATGTTCTTACCAATCTGAATGACCTAAGCACTGATAATCCTTCCACATTAGCCAGACCCAACTCCATTAAACTGAGGCTCACGATGATACCATCAAAAATGTTCCAGCCTTCTTGGAAATAATAGTATGGATCCAAGGCAATCAGCTTAAAAACCATTTCTGCTGTAAAGATTCCAGTGAAAACCTACAATAAAGGAAATAGGTTTAACTAGTCCAGAGTTCTTCAGATTGATTCCAATTAATTGTGATTCAACTCATTAGTCAAAACATATGAACTTAGCTTTACACTGGTGAAAAGGTTACAAAAGATGACGGCTACAAAAGACGCTACTTCAAAATATCAGAAAATACAGTATATACTATATTTAAATGTTTACCATGCAATATAAAGTTAATGGGAAAAAAAATCAGAAACAGTTTGAAAAGCTTTGTTCATTCTGAACAAACCTTTAATTTTCTCTAGGTTCAAAGGATTTTATGCTAGTTGATATTTTAAAAATTAATATTCTTCATTTAGTTGACCACAAAATAGATATGTTTATAATCCAAGCCACTGTAACGCTTTAAATTGGTTCATCAAGCCAAAGTCCTCATCAGCTGTTGGTGTGTATATGAGCAAATTAATTAACTGCTTCCCGACCGCCCTATAGCAGAAATACTGCTACAGGGTGGCACGAGTACGTAAAATCACATATATATATATATATATATATATATATACATACGTGATTTTGCATTTCCGGGTAGGGGCATGCAAGAGCCGCGCGCGCGCCCTACCTGCGCCGTCATTCACGGCCAAAGCTGTCAATCACCGGGTCCCAGCAGGTGATTACTTGCCGGCACTCGGTGATTACTAAGGATCTCCGACGGGGAGGAGGACTGTTTTGTTTACTAACAGTTCTCTTTGTTTACTAACAGCACAGTCATCCAAAGCAGTGTGCTTACAGTGAAGCACACTGACACGGCCCCCTAGCAAAACATTCCCTACACACAGTTAACCCTTTGATCGCCACTCATGTTAACCCCTTCCTGCCCAGTGCCATTAGTACAGTGTCAGTGCTTTTTTTTAGCACTGATCACTGTATTGGTGTCAGTGACACCAAGTCAGTTCCCCCCAGTGTCAGAATGTCTGCCGCAGTCTAAGTCGCTGATCACTGCCATTACTAGTGAAAAAAAAAATGCCAGTATCTATACCGCCATTTGTAAACACTATAACTTTCATGTAAACCAATTAATTTACACGTATTGGGATTTTTTTTTAGCAAAGACATGTAGAAGAAAACCTTTTGGCCTATATTGAGGAAATTTGATTTGTAAAAATTTTTTTTACTGGACATGTTTAATAGCAAAAAGTCAAAAATATTTTTTTCTCAAAATTGTCAGTCTTTTTTTTTATAACGCAAAAAATTAAAATGCACAGGTGATCAAATATCACCAAAAGAAATATCAATTCGTGGGAAAAAAGGACATACATTTCATTTGGTTGCAGTGTTGCATGATAGTGCAATCGTCAGTTAAAATAACGCAGCGTCGTAATGCAAAAAATGGCCTGGTCAGGAAGGGGGTAAATCCTGAGGAGGGCAGATGGTTAAAGAACAAAGTCTTGAAAACAAAAACAGTAAACATCATGTTTCTTGTAAGGCTGGCCATACATGATTCTTTTATTTTCCTTCAATCAGCAGGTTGAACAAAACAAATGAACTGACTCTCTCATCCACACATTCATTGTGGAAGGGAGAATCACTTCTGCTGAGCTATTGTGTTCTGCCTATGGGGAGCCTTCAGTGTTGGGGGCTGTAGTGGGCAGCACTGATCATTCAGGGAAAACCAGACAGGCTGGTTGTACACCAGTCAATTGATAGATGAGCTTGTGTACAATCAGCTAGGCCATACATGGATCTAAACCAATGATGTAATCAGGGAATGTACTGGGAGAACTGAAGCTGTGCAGATTTTAGGACATGTCATGACTTTCTGGTACAACCTTAACCTCTAGTCCTAATAGAATTGTTAAAGATCACAATGTGGCTGGCTCCACTGTGTGACTGGTACACTTACATAGTTTGAAAAGAGACACGTGTCTATCAAGTTCAAACTCAAAAAGAAAATTTTAACTTTTTACAGAGATCCATGTAACTTATAGAACAATTATTGTTTCTGCTTAGAAGTGTCTTTCTTCCCATAATCTTTCATCATCCACAGGAAGCACAATTTACATACAGCATTCTGCCTTTCAAGATCCGCATGGTTCCTTTTTAACTCTTCCTATTGCATTTGTCTCTCAGATATCTTTCTTTCTGTTAACTTTCAATATATCAGCATGATGGCAGAATAAGACAAAAAGGCTCATACAGTCAGTTCCTTTACTTATGTTTTCTAAAAATGCTCACAATTTAAATGTTCATCTAGTAGATGGAATTGGATTTAAAAGATTTCTCAAATTATCATTCTTTGTCCAAGCTGACTGATTGCCTTTTTTGCCTCTTCTGTTAAAGACAAACTTTGATAATAAAATAACATGTTTTTTTTTTAAAAAAGACAGACTGTGGCGCCATATTGGATGATTCTGAGAGCCAATAGGATTGGCTTTGCTTCTTGATCTCAAATATTACTACCACTGGGAAGTAATTTACTTCATATGTTTCAGAGAAAATCATCATTAATTTTGTCCGGCATGGGTTTCAAAGAAAGGAGAGTGATAAAGACATCTTGGACTTCCCTTTGCCTGCCCTGAGAAATTTTAGGAAGAGGCCTAGTTAGAGATTTGCTCATGCCAGTTTTTTGCCGGGTCTGTTCCAGGGCAAACTACCAAATACAATCTTGCTACACCTCCTGATTACATAAATTCCTGAAGCTCTCCTTACAGTGGCCAGGTAAAGACCCATCTTCTGATGACCACTGTCTAACCCAGTGTTAGTAAATAAGTTAGCTATGCTCAATTTAAATAACCAATCATGGGCTAGAAAAAAATATAGTTTATTTTCTTTTCCGTTACACATGATTGAGATTTTAAAGTGAATTCAACCTCACCATATTAACTAACATGCATACACTGTGCACATATTTTTCACAGTGAACATAAATGTTGCTAGATGAACAGCTTTGTCTCTTTTAGTAAATCAAGGCTGATCTATAGTATATGATTAGTTATATGATTATGGTAGTGATCAGGGGGTGAACTGACCATTTGGAAACTCGGGCACTGCCTGAGGGCCCGGGGTCAGTAGGGGGCCCCATGAGATGCCCCTGGTACCTTTTTCATAGGCTTTTTTGAGTTTGGGCAAGGACACAGGGGCCCCATGATCCCCTATTGCCCGGGGGCCCCATGAGTTGTCAGTCCGCCCCTGGTAGTGATAGCAAAGTTTTAACACAATGCTGTGTGTCTAATATTAGATTATAAAAGTCCTAAAATACTGTCTCTTATATAAAGATTCCGGCTAAGAAACTAGTACTCCCTCCTGTCCTGATTTAGTGACAGAGTTTTAGGATGGTCAAGGGAAATAAATGTGTATTTATCCAAATATATAATTGTAATAGTTGTGAAGAATCAGGAGCAATTTTGGCAGAGATGGCCTAAATAACATATTAATAATTTATATAATATACATAATTATATATTAATACAAATTGTTGCTTTGAGAAATATAAAACTATAGCTTAAA